TGTGGCCGCATGCGCTGATTTCATGTTTTAGATTTCTTTGGCATTTAAGGCTACATGTGCGATTGGCTGGGAGCAACTCGAACAGTTCAAGCCGGAGCAGTCGTCAATGTTGTTGGTTCTCTGCTTACGCCGTATGTTTCGCGTAATGTCGGGGCTCTTGGTGTCATCATTATCAGGTTTCTGATGGGATGTGGTCAAGGTGTTTTGGTGCCTTGTATGAGTGTTCTCATTGCTCACTGGTTCCCTGTATCTGAAAAGAGCACCGCTGTTGCTATTGCAACCACCGGTAATCAGGTGCTTTTTATGCGCTTTTCCAATCATGCAATGCAAAAACGCACATTGTCGAGAGGTTGTCTGTGTGTGTGCCTGTATGTCTGTGTGTCTCTATGTACGTCTGTACCGCGTTTTTATCCCGAAACCTACAAAAGCTACAAGGCTGAAACTTTGGCATCTTAATCTACACCTATGTAGAACTCCTATTTTTAAAACGAACGCTCATTTCCACGTGATTCTCAAATACTGTCACGTGAAAGATTTTTTGGCTGGGAAGCATTTTCGGGAACGGCGCAAGCTAGAAGGTTGAAACTTCACAAAAATACGCCTTGCCCACATCCAACCTAGAGTTTTTAAATTCAGCCTTCACGCACCCCTAGGTCTTAGGTACGCACATCGAAAACTTTAAGCTGGTATCGTGCCAACTCGAGAATTAAATTGACCAAGAAGTTGTAGAGAGCTATAATTTTGTAGCATTGCTTGCCACCCACTGTTGTGCTTGTGAAAATTGAGCTTTTCAGCCCGTTTGCATTTCATGTACGGGCGCGTGAAACTTGACGTAGGCAGTTTTGTAACTTCGAAGCTCAGGCATCTAAAGGGCTGGAACTTCCTGAATGTGGCCGACGGCGGCCTTTGGCCAGGTGAACTTGAGAACAGCTTTCATGTTCCTTTCAGGTCTCACGTACGTGTCACATACGAACACATAACCGAGGCTGGGACGTACCAGGTTTACAAGTGCGATCATGCGTTTTTGCGCTAAACTCGCAGATCGCTAATAAAAGGAATGATCCCTACGCTGTAGCTTAACAATTGGGCTCATATTGGCCGTGCTCTGGCCTCTTTCGGCATTCAGCAAAAGGGCGTCGGTTGGGATGAAGGTGTTGCATTATAGGACAGCGTGAA